AAAAAAAAAAAAAAAAAAAAAGAGGTTAGAGTGGGAGAGAGCCAAAGCATAAGAGACTGTTGAGAACTGAGAACAAACTAAGGGTTGATGGGGGGTGGGAGGGAGGAGAGGGTGGGTGATGGGTACTGAGGAGGGCACCTTTTGGGATGAGCACTGGGTGTTGTATGGAAACCAATTTGACAATAAATTTCATATAAAAAAAAAAAAGGTATGTTAATGGTAATATTCACAGCAGTCTTGTGAAGCAGAAATTGTCTTACAGATGAAGAAATTAAAGTTCATATACACTAAATTTATTTAAAGCCACAGAGCTCTGTGGTGATAGAGCCAAGATTGGACCCCAGATCTCTCTGATTTCAAAGTCTCATGTTGTTTCTACTATATTTCTATTATGTTTCTACTGTATATGTTTCTACTAAATCAGACATGAGCTAGTCAACTCAGAGTTTATGAATTCTTATCCTAGAATGGCTGGTCCCTGTGCCTTGGGCTTTTTGTCATGGAAGTTAGCTACATACTCTGACTAGTTCTGTGCATCTGCACACCTTTCATGCCAGGCATTTGAAACTGGGACTAATGGTATGTGGGTTTTTTTTTTTTTTTAAGATTATTGTACTTTATTTCACAACTTTATTGAGGAATAATGTAGAATAAACACATATTTAAAGAATACAATTTGATGAATTTTGACACATGTATATACCCGTGAAACCATCATCATAATAAATACCCTTTACTCCTTAAGATTTCTTTGTGCCTCTTTGTGATCTGTACCTCTCACCATCCCTAAGCAACCACTGATCTATTTTCTGCCTTTATAGTTTGCATTTTCTAGAATTTCATATAAGTAGAGTTACATAATGCTGTTTTAAATGTTAGAATTTTCTTCTCTGCTTAGGCTGCTCTGGTCACATCATCACCATATGAGTTGTGTTCCTTTGGAGCACTCTCCATCTGAGGCTTGGCAGACCCCCTGCAATCTGTGATGCCTCTCCCTTAAACTGCTCTAGCTGCCACTTCCCTACTCTATCTTAGATAATCTTTACTTGTTTCTTAAAGCCATGAAAGACCCAGGAAGGTTTACATGATTCTTTTCCTGAAGCTCGCTGGCTATGACCTTTCTAGTTTCCCTTCTAAATGGATAATGAATGCTACAGTTCTGATCCTGATAGGCAGTTCTCCAGTTAGGGCCCAAACCATACATACTATGCTCCCTGGCAGTCAAAGGTCAATGAGGGCAAGTGGGGTTCAGATCCTGCCCCATCTAGATTTCCCAGTGGTAGATTGGCAGATCCTTTCTCCCCACTTGTCTGAATGTGTATGTGTGGGCGCACACGTGTTGGGTATGCATAGGGTTCTTGCTATATAAAGTTGCAAGTATATGTATGAGCATATTAATTTTGGAAAATCAAGTGCTCAACCCTTTAAAATATTTTGTTTTTACTGTACAAAACAGAATCCATTAACCTTAAAACAGCCGGCTATTTCACCAGCAAAATGGGTTTATTCAGGAATAACAATTGCAATTTGGGACATGCAAGCTATGGCAAAACGGTAGGCAATCCTGGAGAACAAAGGAGAGGACTACTTTTTATAGAGGAAGGGGGGCTGTTGGGAGGGATTGTTATAAACAAATAGTCCATTGGAGTAACCTGGGAGTTTGAAATGTGGTGGCTTCTCATTGATTGAGTTGTGACAGTCTCTCACTGGCTGGGCTGCTGCCTCAGGGAGAAAATGTTCCTTCCTCCTGCTGGGGTAGTCAAGTATAGGCTTCTTCCTGTTTGGCAAAGGGCTGCAAGGAGTTGTACGGCATGAGAACTCCCCCTTCTGGCCTCTCAACTCCATTTAAATGAGGTTTCCTTTATTGAGTTTCACAAATCAAATACAAAATGATATTTGCTCCAAAATTTCATTATTTCTGAGTCATAAGTATTTTTATGACATGACTAAGGTCATGTTATTAAAAAAGTTATTTCAGTTTAATCTAAATAATTTCAAACTAATCCATATCTGAAATGTGTGTTATTTCATCTTTCATATCCTTAATCTCAGCTCGGACTATTGTTAAATTAGATATTTTTTCATTTAAGAAAGCAATTTCTTTCTCTCGTTGTAGTAAGTCAGTAACCAATCTTCCAATGCGTAGTGTTAAATCATTTACCAATGGTTCCAAACGGGAAAAGTCCTTCTTTAGATTATACACCTTTGGTTTTAGATCATTTGCAAAAGTCACGGTCTTCATAACTTTAGCTCTGTCACTTTCTAAGCTTAAAAACCTATCTGTGTGCTTGTTGAAATTATTCTTTAGCTCTGAAAGTATCTTCTTAATAGAGTTAATTTTTTGTGAATTTTCAGATGCTGTCTTCCGGAGCATTGCTGTTCGATCGATGCTACTTGAAAGAAGATCACCTATGTTTTTTACTGTATCTTTTTCTATTTTTTCTATTTTATTTTCTAATTCTTGCACAGAATCTGTCAATGATGTTGCATCAGTTACTAAACCTGAAATACGTCGTATATCTGTTTTTACAGTTGTAATCTTGAGACCGACATCTTTTGCCATGGAAGTTGTACTTTGGTCTACTTTTGTTACATCTTGAGAAAGAGTTGTCAAATTGTTGTTCAGTATATTTTGTTTTTCAGTTATCCTGTTGGACCAAGTTTTCACTTCATAAATTTCCTCCTGTAGACGCTTTAGATGGGCAATTATTTGAAAAGACTTCCACTGTTCCACGATAGCTTCAGACTTCTGACACTATAAGAAAATATAACACCACAATAATTAACTTGATTAAAAGCTTAATATTTAAAATTCAACTTAAATTTTAGGTGCTATTTATTTTGTTTTTTAATGTTTATTCATTTTTGAGAGACAGAGAGTGAGGTGAGGATGGGCAGAGAGGGAGACACAGAATTTGAAGCAGGCTCCACGCCCAGCACAGAGCCCTATGCGGGACTTGAACTCACCAAATACGAGATCATGATCTGAGCTAAAGTCAGATGCTTAACTGACTGAGCTACCCATGCGCCTCCATAATTTTTGAAACATAAGTTTGTAGCTATTTCAAGTGCTAGAATGAAGGGACCAATGCCCAAGACTCCATATGCATATCTTTATTGTCCTATTACATTTAAAGATTTTATTTTTAAGTAATTTCCACACCCAACATGGGTTGGACTTACAACCCAGAGATCAAGTCACATGCTCTACCAACTGAAAAAGCCAGGTTCCCCTCTCCTATTACTTTTATGAATAATTTCCTGGGGTATCTATCCATGAATAATTCAATTAACTAATTCTTAAATTCCTAGTATTTTAGGCATACCAAGTGTGAGGGACATAAAGATGAGTACAGCTTGGGTTGTGACCTCAACTCAGTTTAGCAGAGGATAGATATGTAAAAAGCAAAACAACCAGAGAATAAAAAAACTATCTCCAAAGTTCTAAAATCCTGTGATTTCAAATACAAGTGGTTCTCAACTTTTGTATATTTCCATGCCATCCTCCCTCCCCACCATCCATTGTAATACTGATATCTATAAATTGTCATTTTGGTTTAACTTGGATACATTAGTTGCTGAACATTTTTTCCCCATCCCATCCAACCCCTAGTTGATGAACATTTTGAGCCACATAACTGCCTGGCAGCTATGACAAGCTGAAATGTAGAATAGTTAACTCATAGTAGTGATTACCCCTCCTTGCCCTTATGTTTGATTTCAAAACATATTTTAGGACTTTTCTCCTCAGTAGGTTTATGCTATGTTATTTAATGGTGGGGAGAGATGGCCCAAAATATTTTTTGGTAGTGAAGTTAGAATGTGAAAATGTTATTATTGGTGTGACATTAAAGAGTAACCACAAACCGGAAGGAAATCAAGTAGTGATTGCAAAAGCACTGTTTTTTTTTTTAAGGGAACGGTTTTGCAAGTGTATTTGCTGAAACACAGCCTCCAAAGGGTGAAGAAAGTAGATGGCTTATTTCTTCTATTTCATTATTAGGTTATTATTTATTAACATATCTACTCTGGTAGAGTAAATGTAGCTTACCAGCATTACACAGTTAAGAGTCCTCAGAAAGAGCCTACTTTATTTTTTAATTATTTATTTATTTTTGAGAGAGAGTGAGGGGAGAGAGAATTCCAAGCAGGCTCCACCCTGTGAGGGAAGAGCCCACCTAGGGGCTCCACATGGGGCTCAAATTCAGGAGCCCATGAGATCATGACTTGAGTTAAAATCAGGAGTCAAATGCTTAACCCACTGAGCCACCCAGACGCTCCAGAACTTTATTTTTATAAGGATCAGATCATTAAGAAACTGCTAGTAAGACTCTCTTTCACTTGATAGCTTATAAAAGCAATTTATCATGAACTTCTATTGATCTTTACTAACATATTAACTGAACACAGTGTAGGAATAGTCTTGAAATTGTTTCACCAAATTGTTTTTAGAATTACTTAGGGCTTGTTTAAATTATTTGCCTAGAATGGACAGAAGAGTTGGAGAGTCTACCAAAAAGATTCACAAGATTCAGTCAGAAATTTAAATATTTACCAAATTCCTATCATATATGCAAGGTACTAAGCTAGATGCTGTCCTGTAATGGTCAGTATTATCTCAATCTGCAAGTGGAGCAACATGGTTCAAGGGAATGATGTGGGTCCAACTGGTTTTCCAAAAACTTTGATAAAAGATCTTTGAACTGTAACTAAAGGACCTGGAAATTTTATTAATCTCTAAAATTTAAAACCATGTAAAGCCAGAAGGGGTCTTAGAGATTAAAAAAAAAATATTTTTTAATGTTTATTTATTTTTGAGAGAGACAGAGACAGAATGCAAGTGGTTTGGGGCAGAGAGAGAGGGAGACACAGAAGCAGAAGCAGAAGCAGGCTCCAGGCTCTGAGCTGTCAGCACAGAGCCCAACGCGGGGCTCGAACTCACGAGCTGTGAGACCATGACCTGAGCCGAAGTCTGATGCTCAGCCGACTGAGCCACCCAGGCGCCCCAGAGATTTTTTGATATAATTCCCTCATTTTACAAATTAAAAAACTGAGCCCCCAAATAAAGTGCCCAAGAACACACAGTTAGTGGCAGAGCCTAGATTGGAAGATTCTGGCCTAAGGCTTTTTCTCCATCTCGCTTTCCTACTCTTGCCTAAACATTTATCAGTTCCTTCTTATGCCCAAGGCCCAAACAATTTTAGGTCATAGTTACAACCTTTGGGTGACTTACAGTCTTGTTTAATGGTGACATGGAAGAGACACATTTGGCAGAATTAGTTTTTTGAATTCTCAAGATGGTTCTATTGATAGCAGATTTCTTGTGATTTTCTCCCCATGATTGAACAGTAGCAGGTTGCATTGTATAGTGGGAGGTCAGTAGCCTCTGGAGTTAGACAGACGTAGCAGTGTGACTACAAGTTTTCTAACCTTGGTAAGCCCCAATTTTCTCATTTGAATAATGGGTGTCAAGGCTAGCAAAGTTGTAGTGGGAAGTAGTGATAATATGGGTCATGGTAGGTACTCAATACACAGAGCTGTTACTGTTGACAATGATGAACATAGACTTCCTAGCAGCGTTTGACACATAATAGACTCAAAATGCTAGTTCTCTCTTTCCTTGCTGTGAAAGCTGCGATGGAGCATTTTGATTCATATTAAATTAATACTTTATAGCTGAACTAAAAAAAACAAAACAGATGATGGGCAAATTTGCAGAGCTTTTGCCACCTGTGCAAATATCAAGTAAGTATATAGAGAAATGAGTTTTTTCCATGTGTTTGGTGAATTTGCAGTTTCATTATTTTTAATGACATATTAATCTTGGATCACGATTATAGATTCATAGAAAGGTAATCAGGCTAAGATGAAAAATAATGCCATTGACTTTGTATCTTACTAGTTTTCCATTAAACCATATGGATAATAAATCAACATTTTTATTTTTCATTATAAAATATAAAAGTACACTTAGTCAACAGCTTACAATCATTAGGCAAAATTTAAGGAAATATATATTTTTTAATTTTTTCTTTGACGTTTATTTATTTTTGAGACAGAGACAGAGCATGAATGGGGGAGGGGTAGAGAGAGGGAGACACAGAATCTGAAGTAGGCTCCAGGCTCTGAGCTGTCAGCACAGAACCCGACGCAGGGCTCCAACTCATGGACTGTGAGATCATGACCTGAGCCAAAGTTGGATGCTTAACCAACATAAATAGATTCTTTTAAGTTTATTTATTTTGAGAGACAGAAATAGCACACACAAGTGAGGGAAGGGCAGAGAGAGAGGGAGAGCGGGAATCCCAAGCAGGTTCTGCACTGCCAGCACACAGCCCGACAGGGGACTTGAACTCATGAACCATGAGATTACACCTTGAGCTGAAACCAAGAGTTGGACGCTTAACCTACTGAATCATCCAGGCACTCCATAAATAGATTTTTAAACTTTGCATCCAGAAGTTAAAAAAATTAGGTGTTTGTTTTGTAAAAGTGATTTACTTGTACTAAATTAAAAACATGGACCCAGTACTCTATCAGAAATTAACTGATATAAAATTTGTTATCAATTACAAAGATACAAAAATGTGTTTTAGAATATGGTAATCTTCCTTAAAGGAAAGACTAACAGTATAATTTAATATTTGATACACAGGAAGTTCTTGAAATTTCAAGGATCTGTGTTATATAAATAAATGTAAGAAACAGAAGACAAATCAGGTACATCTAAATCTGACAGGTTTTTAGAGGAAAAACTGAATAAAGGAAAATATACATATGCACATGTACATAATATGCATATACATGTACGCAATAGTTTTCTCGTGAAATACTTAGAGAAAGGCAGTGTTTGATTCCCTTGTAACTGTCACTATAGAACAGAATGGCCATCTTGTTTCCATTCATTTTCTGTAACCAGTACTATGGTATATACAAGTTAATAATGATGTATCAAATATGGTAATAGGCCAAATAAATAAATAAAAGTGAAGATCACATCTGACATGTTGGGTTGGAAGCTGAAATAACAAAGTTCTAGTGAAGTTCAGAATCTATTTTATTAGCATTAAAATAAAAGTAAACAAAAACAATTTTGTCAGTGCACACAGATAAGAACTTAAGACATTCAGAAGTCAAGGGATTTAATGTTAAGATTCCAGAAATTAATGCTATGCTTTTAATAGTAGCATTCTTTCAGGCTTATCTTTATGACCCATGGCTGTCTACCATAGGACCTCCTAAACCCAAAATAGAACTTGTTTGGGATTTTTAAAAAAATGTGCAAATTTACAAAATAAAACTACCTGACCACAACTACTTTTCACAATTGACTGCTTTCAAGTTCTTTGTGTTTATTTTTTATAACTATGATCATGCATTTAAACTTATTTTTTAAAATTTATTTAATATTTTAATTTATTTAAAAAATCTCTACACCAAACATGGGGCTCAAACTCGCAATCCCGAGATCAACAGTCACATGCTCTTTCAAGTGAGCCAGCCAGGTGCCCCTCAAGTTGTGTTTAATTCCACTGATATTACATAATAAAACTGGGACTATAGTTGGTTATTGGCAAGAATACACAAGTAAGAATAGTACTTCCTTCCATATGCAATTGACTCAGTTTTCAATGCCAAGCTTGGACACTTTGATACATCAGTCACCAATAAGAGTCTTATGTGTTCCCCCAACCCTGAACATTTTCCGATTATCATTATTTGAAAAATCTGACTAGATCTCCCCTTAATCACATC